TCTTGAGGGACACAGAATTGTTACTGAGGGCCACAGAACCGTTACTTAGGGCCACAGAAACGTTAATCAGGGACACAGAATTGTTACTGAGGGCCACAGAACCGTTACTTAGGGCCACAGAAAACGTTAATCAGGGACAGACACAGAGGGTTACTCAGGGACACAGAATTGTTACTGAGGGACACAGAATTGTTACTGAGGGCCACTGTTAGACACAGAATTTACTTAGGGCCACAGAATTGTTACTTCAGGGACACAGAATTGTTACTGAGGGCCACAGAGAATTGTTACTTAGGGCCACAGAATTGTTACTTAGGGACACAGAATTGTTACTGAGGGCCACAGAACCGTTACTTAGGGGCCACAGAGAATTTGTTACTTAGGGACACAGAATTGTTACTGAGGGCACAGAACTGTTACTTAGGGCCACAGAATTGTTACTTAGGGACAGACACAGAATTGTTACTGAGGGACACAGAATTGTTACTGAGGGCCACAGAATTGTTACTTAGGGCCACAGAATTGTTACTTAGGGACACAGAATTGTTACTGAGGGCCACAGAATTGTTACTGAGGGCCACAGAATTGTTACTTAGGGACACAGAATTGTTACTGAGGGCCACAGAATTGTTACTTAGGGCCACAGAATTGTTACTCGTGACTTAGGGCCACAGAATTGTTACTCAGGGACACAGAATTGTTACTGAGGGCCACAGAAACCTGTTACTTAGGGCCACAGAATTGTTACTCAGGGACACAGAATTGTTACTGAGGGCCACAGAATTGTTACTTAGGGCCACAGAATTGTTACTCAGGGACACAGAATTGTTACTGAGGGCCACAGAACTGTTACTTAGGGCACAGATTGTTACTCAGGGACACAGAATTGTTACTGAGGGCCACAGAACTGTTACTTAGGGCCACAGAATTGTTACTCGGAGAGGGACACAGAATTGTTACTCAGGGACACAGAATTGTTACTGAGGGCCACAGAACCGTTACTTAGGGCCACATAAACGTTAATCAGGGACACAGAATTGTTACTGAGGGCCACAGAACCGTTACTTAGGGCCACATAATTGTTACTCAGGGACAGACACAGAATTGTTACTGAGGGACACAGAATTGTTACTGAGAGGGCCACAGAAACCGTTACTTAGGGCCACAGAATTGTTACTCAGGGACAGACACAGAATTGTTACTCAGGGGACACAGAATTGTTACTCAGGGACACAGAATCGTTGAATTAAAGAGTATGTCAGACAACATGCAGAGGAGTGGCAGAGGAGGCAATGTTTTAGGAGCGAGCAGACGTGGGCAGCAGAGGAAGGGGTCGAGGCAGCACTATTCGCAGCCAGAGGCCAGTGCTCCCGGTGTCATCCAGCGGTCGTGTCTCCACCGACAACCCTGCCGTCGTCGATGGTTGGCTCGGTCGTCTTCCTCTTCCCAGGTCACCTCTGACACCTACAGCCAACGGTCGGTGGGTACGTCAGACACAACCGTTAGTTGGCATGGCCCGGGACCAAGCCCACTGAAATCACGTGTCCTCTACCTGCCCCTGTCCTTTGGTGTTCCCTCACCAAGCGAAGTATCGCATGCTGTGGGCTCAGCCCCACTGTACAGTGAGGAAGAGAGCTAACAGAGGGCGGTCAGGAACGGGGGGAGACATCCGCCTTTTCAGCAGCCAGGCGAAGAAGTAGTGGCGAGGAGAGTGGCTCGGTAGCCGGTCTAGAGACAGGTCTGTCTCCTGACCCAGACGCAGCCGAGGGGGCTAGTAGTGAGGCGGAGACCCTACTTGATGATGAGGAGGTTGATCGCACTTGGCAGCCTCGTCGTCATCAGGGCAATTTCTTCCGCATCATCAGGAGAAGAGGTGGCAGCTTGGCAGCGAGCAAAACAGTCGGTGGGTTGCCCAGGAGCAGCAGCAGGGTCGCAGCAGTGTCAGTGGAGCCAAACGGCCACGGAGTAGAGCACCAGCTCCACTGCAGCCTACCACCACGGCCAGTAGTGGTGCCGGTGTGCACGGAGGAAGCAGCAGTCAGCCAGTGAGGAGTATCGGGGGGGCAAAGTTTCCTACTCGGCGGTGTGGCAATTTTTTGTCAAGCCGCCCGAGGAAGTAAACGTAGCCGTATGTCGACTATGTGGCCAGAAAGTCAAGCGTGGCCAGGGGGCCCATGTTGGGACTACAGCGTTGCGGCAGCATATGCAGCGTCGCCATTTGGTGGCCTGGGAAAACCGTGATAAAGATACGGCGGGGTTCTGCCCGCCCCAGCCCCCCCGCTCCATCACCCGCTCCGTTACTTGCTCCGTCACCTGACGTCAATCGCCCTCCATCAGCCAGTCAAGGCTCCAACACCTCTGCTGAGGGGGGGGAGTTGTCGCTCGTTGGCATCTTCCGCTCGTTCAGATGCTCCTTCTCCTGCTACTCCTCTTCACGGATTCCGTCAGCAGTCTTTCTTGGAATCCGTTTCCAAGAGACAACAGTTTGCGAGCACGCACCCGACGGTGCAAAAGCTGAACGTCCTCCTGTCCAAGTTGCTGGTGCTGCAGTCCCTCCCTTTCCAAGTGGTGGTGGACTCAGCACCTTTCCGAGAAATGATGGCTTGTGCCGCGCCGCGGTGGAGAGTGCCAAGCCGTCATTTCTTCGCCAAAAAGGCAGTGCCAGCCCTGCATTCACATGTAGAAGAGATGGTGGGCCAGTCTTTGAGCATGTCGGTCTCTGCCAAAGTGCACGGCAGCGCCGACGTGTGGAGCTGTAACTACGGTCAGGGACAGTACATGTCATTTACGGCCCACTGGGTGAACGTGGTGCCGTCACAGCCGCACCAGCAACTTGGACAGGTCACGCCGCTTTTGCCTCCACGTTTGCACGTCCTTGGTCCGGCAAAGATGTCCGCCTCTACCACCTCTTCTTCCGCCGTGTCCTCAGCCGCCACCCCCGTGCCAAGTCCCATTACCCGACCGGCATATCACATGTGCAGGGCGCAACGGTGTCACGCTGTGCTGCACCTGGTATGCCTTGGCGAACGTAGTCACACAGGGGGGAGGAACTTCTCAGTGTAATGAACAGAGAAATCGACAGATGGCTGTCTCCGCGCAAACTGAAAATCGGAACCATGTTGACCGACAACGGAAAGAACATGGTGTCTGCTCTGCGTCAAGGAAGGTTGTGCCATGCGCCATGCATGGCTCACGTGTTCAATCTGGTTGTCAAGCGGTTCCTAAAATCCACCATCCCACTGCAAGACATCCTTAAAATGTCACGTAAACTTTGCATGCATTTCAGCCATTCCTACACCGCAAAGCACACCCTCCTTGAGCTGCAGCGGCAGAACGGAATTGCACAGCATCGCCTGATCTGCGACGTTGCAACAAGGTGGAATTCAACCCTACACATGTTAGACCGCCTTTACGAACAGCGAAAGGCCATCACCGATTTCCTGATGTTACAAGCGGATAAAGGTACTCCCCTGTGTAACTTTGATGTCAGCCATTGGCAGCTCATGCGTGACACCTGCCGCTTGCTCTCAGGCCTTTGAGGAGGCCACGCTATTCGTGAGTCGGCAGGACTATGGGATGAACGACGTCATTCCTCTGTTGCACGTCCTGGAACAAATGCTGTTAACAATGGCTGGTCAGGGTGCGGTAGACGTGGCGCACAGATCTCAACGCCACATGACCCCTGTGGGGGCAGGACAGGAAGAAGAGGAGGAGGTAGAGGAGGACATTTGTGCTCAGGAATTATTGAGTGAAATGGGTGGTTTTTCCACTCAGCGGACAGGAGTGGAGGAGCAGGAGCATCTGGTAGAGGAGGAGGAGGAGGAGACAGAGGACCCAGACGCACCGTGGCAGTATGCTGTGGAGATGGAGGCAGGGAGTCCCTCGCATTCCTTGGCACAAATGGCCCATAGCATGCTCGGTTGCTTGCGTAGCGACAGCCGAATAATAACCATCAGACAGAGGGATGACTTTTGGCTGTCCACCTTGTTGGACCCTCGCTACCGTTCAAAAATGGTGGCCTTTTTCACACCTGCTGAGAGGGAGGCCAAAATAACGTACTATAAAAACCACCTATGTAGTCAGTTGGTCTCTGCCTTTGTGCGCCAACGTCCATCCTCAGACACTGTGGGCCCTGTGCGCTCGCGTTCCGCTGCCATGGCAGCAGGGGAGGGGTGGGGGGTGGTAGGAGCAGTGGCAGCTCCACCAGCAGCGGCTGCCTCAGTCTGCAGTCGATGATGAGTAGCTTTCTTCACCAGCGCAGTGAGGGAAACTACTAACCAGCAGCAGCAGCAGCAGCAGCATCAGGTGGACCTGGAGCAGGACCTCAAACAACAGGCTTGGGCCTACTTGGACAGCACCCTGCCAACCGAGGTAGACAATCCCCTTGACTACTGGGCAACGAAACTTGACCTTTGGCCCCAACTAGCTGAATTTGCCCTTGAAAGGCTGTCATGCCCGGCCAGTAGCGTGGCATCGGAGCGCGTGTTTAGTGCGGCAGGAGGTATTGTAACTCCGCGGAGGACACGACTGTCCACCCAAAGTGTGGAGAGACTCACGTTTGTGAAAATGAATCAGGCGTGGATTAGTCTGGATTTCAAACCACCAGTTCCTGACACAACTGACTAAATCCGCCATGAATCATGCCTCAAACATGTGCCACTTTCAGGTCTCCTCACACACTGCTGGTGTGTTCCATTTTTTTGTCATAGGGTGCTGGCAGATTACGGGCCTCCCATAGCTGCTGCCAGGCCCCTAATCTGCCATGGGCCCCTATATACCGCCTCCTCATGCTGCTGCCAGGTCCAGAGTCTGTCATGGGTCCCTGTACGGCCTCCCATTGCTGCTGTCTCCATCGCCACACTCTGCCATGTGCCACTTTCAGGTCTCCTCACACACTGCTGGTGTGTTGAATTTTTTGACATAGGGTGCTGGCAGATTACGGGCCTCCCATAGCTGCTGCCAGGCCCCTAATCTGCCATGGGCCCCTATATACCGCCTCCTCATGCTGCTGCCAGGTCCAGAGTCTCTCATGGGTCCCTGTACGGCCTCCCATTGCTGCTGTCTCCATCGCCACACTCTGCCATGTGCCACTTTCAGGTCTCCTCACACACTGCTGGTGTGTTGAATTTTTTGACATAGGGTGCTGGCAGATTACGGGCCTCCTATAGCTGCTGCCAGGCCCCTAATCTGCCATGGGCCCCTATATACCGCCTCCTCATGCTGCTGCCAGGTCAGAGTCTGTCATGGGTCCCTGTACGGCCTCCCATTGCTGCTGTCTCCATCGCCACACTCTGCCATGTGCCACTTTCAGGTCTCCTCACACACTGCTGGTGTGTTGAATTTTTTGACATAGGGTGCTGGCAGATTACGGGCCTCCTATAGCTGCTGCCAGGCCCCTAATCTGCCATGGGCCCCTATATACCGCCTCCTCATGCTGCTGCCAAGTCCAGAGTCTCTCATGGGTCCCTGTACGGCCTCCCATTGCTGCTGTCTCCATCGCCACACTCTGCCATGTGCCACTTTCAGGTCTCCTCACACACTGCTGGTGTGTTGAATTTTTTGACATAGGGTGCTGGCAGATTACGGGCCTCCTATAGCTGCTGCCAGGCCCCTAATCTGCCATGGGCCCCTATATACCGCCTCCTCATGCTGCTGCCAGGTCCAGAGTCTCTCATGGGTCCCTGTACGGCCTCCCATTGCTGCTGTCTCCATCGCCACTCTCTGCCATGTGCCACTTTCAGGTCTCCTCACACACTGCTGTGTGTGTTGAATTTTTTGACATAGGGTGCTGGCAGATTACGGGCCTCCTATAGCTGCTGCCAGGCCCCTAATCTGCCATAGGCCCCTATATACCGCCTCCTCATCATGCTGCTGCCAGGTCCAGAGTCTCTCATGGGTCCCTGTACGGCCTCCCTCCCATTGCTGCTGTCTCCATCGCCACACTCTGCCATGTGCCACTTTCAGGTCTCCTCACACACTGCTGGTGTGTTGAATTTTTTGACATAGGGTGCTGGCAGATTACGGGGCCCTATAGCTGCTGCCAGGCCCCTAATCTGCCATGGGCCCCTATATACCGCCTCCTCATGCTGCTGCTGCCAGGTCCAGAGTCTCTCATGGGTCCCTGTACGGCCTCCCATTGCTGCTGTCTCCATCGCCACACTCTGCCATGTGCCACTTTCAGGTCTCTCACACACTGCTGGTGTGTTGAATTTTTTGACATAGGGTGCTGGCAGATTACGGGCCTCCCATAGCTGCTGCCAGGCCCCTAATCTGCCATGGGCCCCTATATACCGCCTCCTCATGCTGCTGCCAGGTCCAGAGTCTCTCATGGGTCCCTGTACGGCCTCCCATTGCTGCTGTCTCCATCGCCACACTCTGCCATGTGCCACTTTCAGGTCTCCTCACACACTGCTGGTGTGTTGAATTTTTTGACATAGGGTGCTGGCAGATTACGGGCCTCCTATAGCTGCTGCCAGGCCCCTAATCTGCCATAGGCCCCTATATACCGCCTCCTCATGCTGCTGCCAGGTCCAGAGTCTCTCATGGGTCCCTGTACGGCCTCCCATTGCTGCTGTCTCCATCGCCACACTCTGCCATGTGCCACTTTCAGGTCTCCTCACACACTGCTGGTGTGTTGAATTTTTTGACATAGGGTGCTGGCAGATTATTACGGGCTCCTATAGCTGCTGCTGCCAGGCCCCTAATCTGCCATAGGCCCCTATATACCGCCTCCTCATGCTGCTGCCAGGTCCAGAGTCTCTCATGGGTCCCTGTACGGCCTCCCATTGCTGCTGTCTCCATCGCCACACTCTGCCATGTGCCACTTTCAGGTCTCCTCACACTGCTGGTGTGTTGAATTTTTTGACATAGGGTGCTGGCAGATTACGGGCCTCCTATAGCTGCTGCCAGGCCCCTAATCTGCCATGGGCCCCTATATACCGCCTCCTCATGCTGCTGCCAAGTCCAGAGTCTGTCATGGGTCCCTGTACGGCCTCCCATTGCTGCTGTCTCCATCGCCACACTCTGCCATGTGCCACTTTCAGGTCTCTCACACACTGCTGGTGTGTTGAATTTTTTGACATAGGGTGCTGGCAGATTACGGGCCCCCATAGCTGCTGCCAGGCCCCTAATCTGCCATGGGCCCCTATATACCGCCTCCTCATGCTGCTGCCAAGTCCAGAGTCTGTCATGGGTCCCTGTACGGCCTCCCATTGCTGCTGTCTCCATCGCCACACTCTGCCATGTGCCACTTTCAGGTCTCCTCACACTGCTGTGTGTGTGTTGAATTTTTTGACATAGGGTGCTGGCAGATTACGGGCCTCCTATAGCTGCTGCCAGGCCCCTAATCTGCCATAGGCCCCTATATACCGCCTCCTCATGCTGCTGCCAGGTCCAGAGTCTCTCATGGGGGTCCCTGTACGGCCTCCCATTGCTGCTGTCTCCATCGCCACACTCTGCCATGTGCCACTTTCAGGTCTCCTCACACTGCTGGTGTGTTGAATTTTTTGACATAGGGTGCTGGCAGATTACGGGCCTCCTATAGCTGCTGCCAGGCCCCTAATCTGCCATGGGCCCCTATATACCGCCTCCTCATGCTGCTGCCAAGTCCAGAGTCTCTCATGGGTCCCTGTACGGCCTCCCATTGCTGCTGTCTCCATCGCCACACTCTGCCATGTGCCACTTTCAGGTCTCCTCACACTGCTGGTGTGTTGAATTTTTTGACATAGGGTGCTGGCAGATTACGGGCCTCCTATAGCTGCTGCCAGGCCCCTAATCTGCCATGGGCCCCTATATACCGCCTCCTCATGCTGCTGCCAGGTCCAGAGTCTGTCATGGGTCCCTGTACGGCCTCCCATTGCTGCTGTCTCCATCGCCACACTCTGCCATGTGCCACTTTCAGGTCTCCTCACACTGCTGGTGTGTTGAATTTTTTGACATAGGGTGCTGGCAGATTACGGGCCTCCTATAGCTGCTGCCAGGCCCCTAATCTGCCATAGGCCCCTATATACCGCCTCCTCATGCTGCTGCCAAGTCCAGAGTCTGTCATGGGTCCCTGTACGGCCTCCATCCCATTGCTGCTGTCTCCATCGCCACACTCTGCCATGTGCCACTTTCAGGTCTCCTCACACACTGCTGGTGTGTTGAATTTTTTGACATAGGGTGCTGGCAGATTACGGGCCTCCTATAGCTGCTGCCAGGCCCCTAATCTGCCATAGGCCCCTATATACCGCCTCCTCATGCTGCTGCCAAGTCCAGAGTCTGTCATGGGTCCCTGTACGGCCTCCCATTGCTGCTGTCTCCATCGCCACACTCTGCCATGTGCCACTTTCAGGTCTCCTCACACACTGCTGGTGTGTTGAATTTTTTGACATAGGGTGCTGGCAGATTACGGGCCTCCTATAGCTGCTGCCAGGCCCCTAATCTGCCATGGGCCCTATATACCGCCTCCTCATGCTGCTGCCAGGTCCAGAGTCTGTCATGGGTCCCTGTACGGCCTCCCATTGCTGCTGTCTCCATCGCCACACTCTGCCATGTGCCACTTTCAGGTCTCCTCACACACTGCTGGTGTGTTGAATTTTTTGACATAGGGTGCTGGCAGATTACGGGCCTCCCTATAGCTGCTGCCAGGCCCCTAATCTGCCATGGGCCCCTATATACCGCCTCCTCCTCATGCTGCTGCCAAGTCCAGAGTCTGTCATGGGTCCCTGTACGGCCTCCCATTGCTGCTGTCTCCATCGCCACACTCTCTGCCATGTGCCACTTTCAGGTCTCCTCACACTGCTGGTGTGTTGAATTTTTTGACATAGGGTGCTGGCAGATTACGGGCCTCCCATAGCTGCTGCCAGGCCCCTAATCTGCCATGGGCCCCCTATACCGACTCCTCATGCTGTGACGTTGCAACAGGTGGAATTCAACCCTACATATGTTAGACCGCCTTTACGAACAGCAAAAGGCCATCACAGATTTCCTGATGTTAAAAGCGGATAAAGGTACTCCCTGTGTAACTTAGATGTCAGCCATTGGCAGCTCATGCGTGACACCTGCGCTTGCTCAGGCCCTTTGAGGAGGCCACGCTATTCGTGAGTCGGCAGGACTATGGGATGAACGACGTCATTCCTCTGTTGCACGTCCTGGAACAAATGCTGTTAACAATGGCTGGTCAGGGTGCGGTAGACGTGGCGCACAGATCTCAACGCCACATGACCCCTGTGGGGGCAGGACAGGAAGAAGAGGAGGAGGTAGAGGAGGACATTGGTGCTCAGGAATTATTGAGTGAAATGGGTGGTTTTTCCACTCAGCGGACAGGAGTGGAGGCTGCAGGAGCATCTGGTAGAGGAGGAGGAAGAGGAGACAGAGGACCCAGACGCACCGTGGCAGTATGCTGTGGAGATGGAGGCAGGGAGTCCCTCGCATTCCTTGGCACAAATGGCCCATAGCATGCTCGCTTGCTTGCGTAGCGACAGACAGCCGAATAATAACCATCAGACAGAGGGATGACTTTTGGCTGTCCACCTTGTTGGACCCTCGCTACCGTTCAAAAATGGTGGCCTTTTTCACACCTGCTGAGAGGGAGGCCCAAAATAACGTACTATAAAAACCACCTATGTAGTCAGCTGGTCTCTCTGCCTGTCTGCGCCAACGTCCATCCTCAGACACTGTGGGCCCTGTGCGCTCGCGTTCCGCTGCCATGGCAGCAGGGGAGGGGTGGGGTGGTAGGAGCAGTGGCAGCTCCACCAGCAGCGGCTGCCTCAGTCTGCAGTCGATGATGAGTAGCTTTCTTCACCAGCGCAGTGAGGAAACTACTAACCAGCCAGCAGCAGCAGCAGCAGCAGCAGCATCAGGTGGACCTGGAGCAGGACCTCAAACAACAGGCTTAGGCCTACTTGGACAGCACCCTGCCAACCGAGGTAGACAATCCCCTTGACTACTGGGCAACGAAACTTGACCTTTGGCCCCAACTAGCTGAATTTGCCCTTGAAAGGCTGTCATGCCCGGCCTGTAGCGTGGCATCGGAGCGCGTGTTTAGTGCGGCAGGAGGTATTGCAACTCCGCGGAGGACACGACTGTCCACCCAAAGTGTGGAGAGACTCACGTTTGTGAAAATAATCAGGCGTGGATTAGTCTGGATTTCAAACCACCAGTTCCTGACACAACTGACTAAATCCGCCATGAATCATGCCCCAAACATGTGCCACTTTCAGGTCTCCTCACACTGCTGGTGTGTGTTCCATTTTTTGTCATAGGGTGCTGGCAGATTACGGGCCTCCCATAGCTGCTGCCAGGCCCCTAATCTGCCATGGGCCCCTATACCGCCTCCTCATGCTGCTGCCAAGTCCAGAGTCTCTCATGGGTCCCTGTACGGCCTCCCATTGCTGCTGTCTCCATCGCCACACTCTGCCATGTGCCACTTTCAGGTCTCCTCACACTGCTGGTGTGTTCCATTTTTTGTCATAGGGTGCTGGCAGATTACGGGCCTCCCATAGCTGCTGCCAGGCCCCTAATCTGCCATGGCCCCCTATACCGCCTCCTCATGCTGCTGCCAGGTCCAGAGTCTCTCATGGGTCCCTGTACGGCCTCCCATTGCTGCTGTCTCCATCGCCACACTCTGCCATGTGCCACTTTCAGGTCTCCTCACACTGCTGGTGGGTTCCATTTTTTGTCATAGGGTGCTGGCAGATTACGGGCCTCCCATAGCTGCTGCCAGGCCCCTAATCTGCCATGGGCCCCCGTACCGACTCCTCATGCTGCTGCCAGGCCCGTAATCTGTCATGGGCCCCTGTTGTCGCTTGTTGGCATATTCCGCTCGTTCAGATGCTCCTTCTCCTGCTACTCCTCTTCACGGATTCCGTCAGCAGTCTTTCTTGGAATCCGTTTCCAAGAGACAACAGTTTGCGAGCACGCACCCGACGGTGCAGAAGCTGAACGTCCTCCTGTCCAAGTTGCTGCTGCCAGGCTCGTAATCTGTCATGCGCCCCTGTACCGCCTCCTCATGCTGCTGCCAGGTCCAGAGTGTGTCATGGGCCCCCGTACCGACTCCTCATGCTGCTGCCAGGCCCGTAATCTGTCATGGGCCCCTGTACCGCCTCCCCATGCTGCTGCCAGGTCCAGAGTGTGTCATGGGTCCCTGTACGGCCTCCCATTGCTGCTGCCAGGCCCGTAATCTGCCATGGGCCCCCGTACCGACTCCTCATGCTGCTGCCAGGCCCGTAATCTGTCATGGGCCCCTGAACCGCCTCCTCATGCTGCTGCCAGGTCCAGAGTGTGTCATGGGTCCCTGTACGGCCTCCCATTGCTGCTGTCTCTATCGCCACACTCTGCCATGTGCCACTTTCAGGTCTCCTCACACTGCTGGTGGTTTCCATTTTTGTCATAGGGTGCTGTATGGCCTCCCATTGCTGCTGCCTCCACCGCCACACTGTGGCTCCACACTCTGGTTTTGGCCCCGTGACTGCCCAAATGAGTGAAGTGTGCGGTGATTCTAAGATCGACGGCACTCATCTGCATGTCATACTGACTGACAGTATTATTTCTCTTCCCCAGCAGACTCCAAGGGCATTTAAATTAAAGGTACAGTGTTCTGCACTAATATTAAGTCTCTCTGAAGCCTAGAAACACCCTTTTTTAAGTTAAATTCACAGCGAATATATTCGACTCGAATCGAAATTTTTCCACAAATTCGCCGAATCAGTCGAATCGAATTTTTGAATACTTCGCTCATCTCTAATATATACCATAATTTGTAGACGCTATAACTTTTGAGGAAACCAATCAATATGCAGTTATTGGGTTTTTTTTATTATCAAAAATATGCAGCAGAATACATACTGGCCTGAATGTATGGAGCAATTTGATTTCTACATTTTTTCATTGGATATGTTTTTATTTGTTTATATGTACAGCATTGCATGACCGGGCAAGTGTCAGTTACAATAACGCAGTGCCGTATCGCAAAAAATGGTCTAGTTAGGAAGGGGCAAACTTTCCGGAGGTCAAATGGCTAAAGTCCAGTAGCTATTAGTCTGCATTCAGAAGAATGCTGCAACACTCCTTTAAGACTGCATTTCCCAGGATCCTTGGCATCTGTCCAGCAAGTCCTTCTGAGGTTCCTATTTGCTCTTACCCCCCTGCCCTCTGACTGGATCTGATCCACACTGCCAGGAGAAGGGGTGGAGAACAAGAGCGGGAGATTTCACATAGAGCAAATGCCTAAGCTGTGCTGCATGGTTCTCTGGATGAGAAGCACTGGCTTCCTTCACACACTGCACAGTTCTCCTTTTAACATGTGGTGTCCAGGCGGGGGGGGGGGGGCGTTTAGGTGAGCGAAGAGAGAAGGTGCCAGCACTCTTACAGCCCACTCTGTGTTTACAGTAGACTGGTGGGGGCGAGTGGGTGAAGAACACACAGAGCCACTTCAACCCTGCTGCAGATATCAACCCGGTGGGGGAAGGGGGTTTGTCAGAACACATCCCACTCTGAACATACAGCCAGAGCCACCCAACTACAGCTGCTTTTAGGGTATATTATAATAGCTGTCTAGTCTATCTAGCCAGGATATTCAGCCTTGCAGATGTACTCTACAACCTATAGGACTGCAAAGCCCCTATATACACTGTCACAGCTGGAGATTGTGGATCTTCCACATGTATCCTGCATGCTTAATGGCGTTGTGCTCAAAGCACCACTATATGCTTAGCCCTGAGCAATGTAACCGGGTCTGAGCATATTGCTATAGTCTGCAGACATTGCTGAAAAGTAACATTGATAATAAAGGCCTGAAGTTGCTGCAGGAACTGTGGGGAGGTCCTGTTAGATCTAGTGCCAAGTGATATCCCAATGAGTGTCCTGAGGATGGACTGGGATATTGGCTATTGTAATGAAGTGCTGGAATTCACCAGACCAGCTACAGTGGGGCATGAGGCTGTCAAAATATCCACCACCACTCAGCGGGAGAGAGCTGACTTATCTTTGGGGTTGGGACCCCTACTGCCATCAATGTACCAGAGAGGCTGGATGTTGAGGACCAACTAGGTGAGCCTGTCGGGGAGGAGAGTAATAATGACAAAGATCCAGGATCACCAAAGTACAAACCAGAATCAATAGGTGAAGAAGTCGGAGAGTGGAAGTCCTCAGGTTCTTTTCAATCAGAATGGGATTGGGAGGATCTGAGGGGCCAGGAGTTCCCTGTAAAGTCCAAAAGGGCAGCAGAGAGCACACCTGATCCTGAAGTCGCAGGAGAGAGAGAGTCTACTGGCCAGTTATTAGAGAGCGCTCAAAGATTATATCTAGAGAGATCCTATAGGGATTTCAGGATTGACTTGTCACAACCTCACCCTTGGGCACAGGCTGCTGCACAAAATATGGCTTACAGAAGCTTTAAAAAACTCATCTGAGTCCTGTGTTGTTGCAGGAAAGGGTGACACAACATGTGGTGCATACTACCACATTATGACATGTGACTGCAGGGGGACCAGATTTTTTTATTAACATGATTTACTACCGCCTTAACATACATTGAACTGAACTGTTGCCTAAAGGAAAGGGCAATCCACATTCAAAAAAAGTTTTTTTTATATAGGACTTTTATTGTTACTGTAGTTAGGATTTAGGTTAGGCTATATCTCTCTGTTTTATTCCAAGATCTTGAAAGACAGCAGCATGTCAAGATCATTTCATTTGTTGTGAATATTCTGATTATATTAAATCTGGTTCATTGTTTTATATTTATGCCCACTAAAGGTGTTATAATGTTTTTATGGCCACGGAGTGGCAGTATAGTAATGAAGCTAATTTATGGACATTAAAACGCTATATTTCAAATTGACAGATTATTGTCAGGTGTTGTTGATTTTTTGAAGGGTCATCTCTGTGGAGATAAAGTTCCAACTCTGAGTTGTATTATCTATGCTGTTTATCCAACTTTGTATTTTAAGGTGAATTGCGTCAAGAGATTTGCACATTACTTGATATTACTAGTATATATACTAGTGGTAGGGTTCTCCCCAGGATAGGGTGTATTTATATGTATGTATGCTACATGAGTTCTGTCAACTGACAAGTCTCCTCAGAGAAAATGTACAAAGTTACTCTACCTCAATTGTAGAACCTTCGTTACATGGAATGCCACATATTTATTGTAATATTGTTAATTTTGCGTTTCCTCCTCCCATCCTGGTTTTACTATGGAATGCTCTGCTCTTGGAAACAAGAGTCATTATTGTTGCGTTGTTGGCCTATGAGGACAGGGCTTTTTTTTAGAGTGGTAGTGGATGTAGCACCCTCCTAGTGTACATTGCTAGGTAAATATAGCTTTGACTCCTTCTGTAATCAAGGGAGCAGTAATTGTTTGTTTGGGCCTGTTCAGGGTATCACAAACTGGGAGTTTGATTGTTTCCCCCTGCCTCTGGAAGAAGCTAAAGGCGGGAGATTCAAATCGACCAGCCTGAATATTTATCAGGTTCCAGCCTATCCTTGAAGGGAAAGTGTCTAGTAGGGACTAGAAAGTGGATAAATAGTTTGAGACACTGAATAGCAGGGTTCCTTTTACCCAGGAGAGTGCCAGAGGTGCAGGGACTTCTGCTGCCAGGCAGCCCGAGGACTGAACTGCTTCTCTAGGAAGCCTAAGAGGTTCCAGGATCAAAGGTTACATAGTTACATAGTTAGTCTGGTTGAAAGTCCATGTAGTTCAACCAATAAAAGGGGGAAAAAAATATAATTTATACAATCCTATATACACAATCATAGACCCACAGTTGATCCAGAGAAAGGCAAAAAATCTCAATAAAGCATGATCCATATTGCTCCTGCAGGGGAAAAAAAAATCCTTCCTGATCCCCCAAAAGGCAATCAGGTATTCTCTGGAGCAACTTTACCTAGAAATATTAGTATCCAGTTATATTGTGTACATTTATGAAATAATTCAAGCCTTTTTTTAAAACAATCTACTGAGCTGGCAGTAGAACCAGCTCTTGAGGGAGTTTATTCCACATTTTCACTGCTCTTACTGTGAAATAGGTTTTCTGTATTTGAAGATTAAATCTCTTTTTCTCCAGACATAAAGAGTGCCCCCTTGTCCTCTGTGATGATCTTAAAGTGAATAACTCTACACTGAGTTCACTATATGGACCACCCACATATTTATACATGTTGATCATATGCCCCCTTAATCTCCTCTTCTCCAGAGGGAATACATTCAGTTCCTCTAATCTTTCCTCATAGCTGAGCTCCTCCATGCCTCTTATCAGTTTGGTTGCTCTTCTGTGCACTTTCTACAGTTCCCCGATATCATTTTTGTGAATTTGTGCCCCAAACTGAACTGCATATTCCAGATGAGGTCTTACTAATGATTTGTACAGGGGTAAAATTATATCTTTCTTGCTGGAGTCTATACCTCTCTTAATACAAGAAAGGATTTTGCTCACTTTGGAAATTGCAGCTTGGCATTGCATGCCATTATTAAGCTTATGATCTACTAGAACCCCCAGATCCTTCTCCACCATCGACTCCCCCAATTGTACTCCTCCTAGTATGTAACATGCATGCATATCTTAGCACCACAGTGCTTGAATTAACATTTATCAACATTATACCTCATTTGCCACATAGTTGCTTAATTAAACAGTGCATTGAGGCTGGCTTGTAAGTTGGAGACATCCTGTAAGGACATTATTCCACTGCACAGCTTGGGGTCATCTGCAAACACTGGAATAGTACTTCTAATCCCAGGCCCTATATCGTTTATAAATATATTAAAAAGTAAGGGTCCCAACACTGAATCTTGGGGTACACCACTAACAAACCTAGACCATGCAGAGTATGAATCATTAACCACTACTCTCTGAATACCATCTTTTAGCCAGTTTTCTATCCATTTACCCAAGTCTGTAGACTTTACCTTACACATTAGCCATGTGTGGGGAACTGTGTCAAATGCTTTTGCAAGATCCAAAATGTCCACAGCCACTCCTTTCTTTCATGAATCCATGCTGTCTGTTACTAAAAATATTTTTTTTCCAGTAAGAACTCTTCTATATGTTCTTTACACTTTCCAGCATCTTCCGACTATAGAAGTTAAACTAACAGGTTTGTAGTTACCTGGTAAAGACTTTGATCCCTTTTTAAATATAGGCACCACATTGGCCTTACGCCAGTCCAGTGGTACTATGACAGTCATTAAAGAGTCTCTAAATATTAGAAACAATGGCTTTGAAATTACAGAGCTCAAAGGTTCAAATAGACTTTGCTCAGAGCTGACTGCAGACCCAAACCACAAGGGGTTGGCTTCGGAGAGGTGCCAACTCACTCACTGAGATGTGTTCGGAGGAACCTGGAAAGAGGCAGGTGTCTTGAGGACATAAAATTAGTGACCTTAAATTGTTCCCTGAGACTGTGTGCTGGACACTGCACTGAGTATTGATAGTTGGACACTGACACAGGGTAACCAGATTCTCAAAGACTTGCTCCATCATCTTCAGCTGTGTGGCCTTTGAAAGCTAGAAAGAATGTCCTCTGTTCAGTATCTACTGATGAGCGTTTTGGAGTATCCCGTGCCCAACCCCTGTCCTGTTCCAAGTTCTACCAGCAATAAATCATAC